CCCCACCCCTGTTCTTTTCTCATAGATTTTTCATTCAAATATAAACTCTTCCTTAGCCTTAATGAAAGGCTGCTTGCTGCTTTCTCAGACTGAGTCAGATAAGCTCATAGTTAGATTATTTTCATCTGAATGAAGAAAATAAGATGAACAGTTTAAAGGCCTGTGGCTTCATGTCACACATATATTTGTGATTTGATTCTTATTTTTAGCAAGCAGGAAGGTCACCACATAAAACTTTACAGTAGTTCAAAGCGACCTTTGCAAATCAGTTACGTATGCTTTTTACAGTCTACCATTTACATGAACCACTCTAAATTAATGACTGAGCATGGACATGACCATAGTTGTACCATCTTTTTAAAAGCTACATTTGTTGGAGGTACCTTTCATTGTGGTTAGACACTCCCTATAATTTGATTGTCCCTAGTATACTAACTGAAGGCAAAATATTCTGAAGAGATGCTTGTAAACTTTGAATTTTCTACTTCTTGAAAATGTGTTCAGTTTTTATGTTTGTTGAATGGATATGTATGTTTAGTTTAATTTTGATTTCACAGGAAGTTTTAAATTTTGAGATGATCAAGCAAAAATAGAAATCCATTGCAGATGTATATATATTTACCCCATCTTGCAGATTTCAGTTAGTGAAACACAGATGGTAGATGGGGTTTTATTGTAAAAAAAGAAATAAAACTAAAATTAGAGAAATGTTTTTGTTTGAGCTACTGTATAGAAGAGACAGGTTTTATTACATTGCTGATCCACATGGTGAACATTTCAATGCTGTTCTAGACTGAATGGGAAGTATTTAATGAAAAGGGGTTACGTTACATTTAAGAATTTTATCAGTTATGTACCATTACAAAAATCAACTCACGTGGAATTCTTCAGACTACAAAATTGAGCAAGTAAATATTGGGTTCTAATTTTCCTTTGCCTACGCCAAGATAGGAAATTTCCCAAAAGATAATTTTTTCAGGAATGAGAGGTCATTAGCCATTAGAGATAGTGGCATCATTATGCAATAACAACGCCCTAGCCAACCTGCTTCTGTCATCTGTAGCACTTATAATAGGTAACGATGACCTACCAACCCTGGACACTACCTCGTTTAAAGCAAACCAGAGGTCCTCTCTACACTTTCTATGGAAGCCATAAAAGTTGCCATCAATATATCCACTTTCATAGTTCTATACTTTTATACTCTGTAGCCTTTTTATAGACTTTATGACCAGATCTTTTTGTCTTAGAGGATAGGTTTTGCAAGAGTCAAAGGAAAATCACACTCCTTGGTTATCCCAACTTTGAAGCTTGAGCTTCAGTAAATTTGTTTAAAGAACCAGATAATGCACCATTTACCAAATTCTTCATTTAAGGCAAAACTATTTTGCAGAGTTGCCTGTTTGGAAAACAGACTTCTCTTTCTTATTCCCTAAGTAGAAGCTATAGTGTTGTAAGAAACTACTTACAAAGTGGCTTTCTACCTTGTTCCTCTGTGTATTACTCGATAACACATGTATTGTCACAATGTCCCTGGAGTTGTTTTGTTCTCATGTGACAGATCTGTGAGTATACAGCTCTTGCTAATCCTCCATTAGCTCACTGCAGCTTTGGTCTCTCTCACTCTCTTCCTGAGTGCCTTCAAAAAGCCAGCATCCTGAAACATTCTGTTCCTGGTCTAAATCCTACCTCTGATTATTTCATTCTCCACAAGTATTGGAACTCACCCTATTCCGATTGGTTTGGCTCAACAAAATAGCTCTGAAACCTTGGACGAGAATTTTGAACGTATTTCTGTTTTGTTCCCTCATGTCATGTTTAGATTACATTTTTAACTTTTATTTATATTTTATTCACATATTGCATCTCTAACGATGAAAGATTTTTATTCCTCTCTTCCTCTTCATTTTCTTTTCTTTCACCAGAGACTAGATGTTCCTTTTAAATGAAGGTCACTGAGTATCTCCTTTGAGCGTCTTTTCCTCACCCCGGTCTTCCTGAATGCCTCCCCTTTCTGATGAAGGGATCCTGAAAGCTGCTGTTGCTGTGCCCTATTCCTATATGCCCTCTCTCTTCCAGAAACATTCTGCAAGGTTGCGCCCACAATTTCATGGTAGTCAAATAATTTAAAAGTGCTCTCTGGGTTTATCAAAAGCCCTGTATTGATTTTTGAACTGCCTCTGACATCCTTTTGTTGCTCAAAAGTTTCCAGTTACTTTCTGTTCTACTTGTTCTCATAGAATTATTTTTTAAAATATGATTGATAGATAATATATGAAGGATGTAATAAAAAGGGGGTTGCAGTGTGTGTTCTCCATGTGATATGAGCACCTTATGAATAAAACAGTTTAGCGATTGGCTAATCGTTCACAGTCAGAACCGAAGCCTGTGCTGTGTGCAGGCCTCTTGCTCCCTTTCAGTTCTCCTCCAAAACTGAAAACTCTTTAAAATGAGGAAATTTGATTGGGTTGTGCTTTTGTTTTTGTTTTCTTTTTGTAAGTGAAGGAAAGCAATTAGGTTGAGTATTTTTGGCCTTAGTTAAAATCTTTCCTGTTGACTTAAAATGTCATGCCTCTGTTTTTAAAGTTAATAATACTAACGCTCAGGTTTTCGGGACTAACCAAGAACCGCATGAAGTGGGAGTCTTAAGAAGGCAGCTGTTAATCGATCCTTAATCCTTTGTGGCTGGCGATGGTATGTTTTGGTGGAACAGTGCAAAAGTGTGAAAATTGGTTATGTTTGATAATGAATACATTCAAGACATTGGAAGGCTTCACTGGCTATTTGCAATGGGAAGGCTCGTTACAAAACGCAAAAGGTAGATTTCTACAGAAATAAGTAGCAAGAGTTTCTTGTTCTTTTAAATAGTTGTCGCTTTAATTTGCCTTGGTAGTCCCCTATTACTGACCTAGAAGTTTGCCTCTTTTAGGTAGTAACTGGCTACCGAAAGTGACCACTTTGAAATGTGTGGCGTTTCTCTTCGGAGCCACAGGCAGTAACAAGTGGAGAGCCATGCTGGGTCACACTTGCAGGAGCCACGTCCCGGAGACAGACTGTTGGCTTGTTTCCTGTCTTCTGTGATAGGAAATATTTCGTGCAGGTATCAAAGGGCCCTTGTCCCTGAGAAGTGTCCCCTCTGCTTTCTAATTCCAGATTCCTTTTACTCTATTTGAACTTCTCTGGTGAGATTGGGGGTGTTACAAATTACTTGAAAACTATTTGGGGGACATGTAGGAAATGGGGACGTGGCAAGAAAGGGCAGAAGCTGAATTTTGCTTGAGAAGGAAATCTGATACTTGTGTTGTTGGTTTTGATCAACCAAAGAGCCTGTCTCTGTACCGGGTGTGCCAAAGAATCAAGTTGTTTTCTGAATATTCGGCTCTTCTGAATGAACACAGCTTCCTCCCTGCCTGTTACAGGTAAAAGGGACCGTGTGATCAGAAGGACAGAGACCCCCAACTCATATCCTACAGAGGACTCAAAGCTGTGTTTAGTTGCATTTGAAAGTCAGTGGGAAGCATCTTACTCTTTTAGAATCCCTAACCCTCCTAGAAATAAATATCTTGTCTGCGCTTGATTATTCAACTCATTAGGTTTTTCAAAAGTAAGAAAAACTGTGTAGCATCGTTTTGGTGTTAACTTCTAAAGTTGTATCCCCATGGATATGTATGCAGCCTCTGAAAATCAGATGAGTCCATCTCAATCTTCCGGAAGTTTGAATATGCATTTTATTCATTTCTTGATGTGAGCTGTACGATTCTTTTCCATCAGCAGTACTGGCTTTGTCCACAAGGGAGCAACAAAGTGCTTTAGCTTCTTTATTCTAAGCCGCCTAAAGAAAGGTCCCGCTTTTAAGTCTGTCATAGAATATCCTCTCTTGGCCCAATGCTTATTTATAGATCTTGCTTTTTAAGACATTTTCCCTTACTACTAAGTCCAGTAGTTGCTCAGCCTTCATGATGCAAACAAAGATTGATGTGTGGGTCAGACAGAGGTCCTTGTGGAGCAGGCACCTTAATTAGCCTTTTAAAATAATGGTGCCCCAAGATTGAAAAGCCGGACTTTCCCACGGGGGAGCCCACTGTGTGCTAAATGCACAGCAGGAAGGCGACCCTCCTTCTCTCTTCCGAATCCTACCACCAGCGCAGGACCATCACGTCTCCGAGAAGGACAAGAGCAGCTGGGGTGACTGGAGGACACGCTTCTCACTTTTCTGCTCCAGTGCTTGTCTGTTACACCAGGAAGCAAGTCCTGGGGTCAGGGAGGTCCCCTGCAGCAGCCAGTCGTCCTCCAGGTTAGAATTCAGTTTGTCACTTGCCTTAGGGCTCCTGACCCTCATCAGCTCTCTGACCACGAGTTTTGTTTCTGCTCCTTGAAGCATCACCTTCACAATAAGCAGGTCGGTGGTCAGCTAAGGGGAAGCACCAGACTGGAACCATTTTCCTGTAGAGCCAGGAGGCATTTGCACCTGGAATGGCCTTCCTAACAGATATCTGCCTGGCTTCTTTTCCCCAGCCAAGTCGGACCCTGAGCGATAGAGGTAGAGAGAGGTGTCCACCTGTAACTCCAACATTTGACAAAAAAAAAAAAAAAAGATGAAACTGAAGCTGTGATTGGTTTAGGTAACAGGTGGCCAGGTATAACTTGTTTGTTTTATTTTTGTTTTCCCCAGTAGTACTGAAATCACTTGCACTTTTCCTGATTTCTTATAGAAAAGAATATCCAGTTTGCTTGCCAGGAATTGTTTAGTGTTAGGTTTACAAAGCTTGTTGTTGAATGTTGAACATTTGTCCAAAGGAGTTTGACAAAACAGAAGCTGCTTGGTCCCTGTTCTGCCTGCCAAGTCATAAGGATTAAGGCCGTGTGGCTGGGGTACTTGTGTCAAGTCCGGAAGGGGGCAGTGTCCCTCTCCTACCTCTGCCAAGACGCAATTGAAGGTCAAGTTGACTCCTGTAGGGCAGGTACTTTTCATGCTGCAAAGAAGTTTAGAAGAGTCTTTCACTTGGGGGTGTGACAGGTAGGTAGGACAGGATCCCTTACGGTGGGAAAGATACTAGGGAAAGGAGAGCTGCCTGGCCCCAAGGACCCGCAGTGAGGTAGCACAGCTCCCCTCCTGACTCTCCGCACTAGCCCAGCTCCCCTGGGTCACCTTTTTTCTAGCATCCTGTCAGATCCCTCCGTGTACTGATTTCCCCCCTGCTGTTAACTATACCAATATTATTTTTTTAGCAATTGAAATGCACTTTTTTAGTTCAACTCAATCATGATTTTAAGTATAAAAAATTTATAGACTGTTAAAACTACTTTTTTGTGTATTTTTAACCACTTGATGTAGCATTGTCTATTTTATTCTTGTGAGACTCTGGTACAAGGTGTGCCACTTCATGATATTTCCAAGATGCTGGGCCTTTGGATGTGTACGGTAACCAACTTAATGCTAATGTTCAAAGTAAAAAAAAAAAAAAAAGTAGCCATATCCGTTGTGTGTCTTTCTTCACTTCATTTCTTCCTCATCCTCCGTTGTCAACATTTTGAGGTCTCCTTGCTCAATGACTTGCCTTTTTTCTGTAAAATGAACAATCCGGATCTGCTATTATCAGTTGTCTCTAGTTCCACTAATAGGCTGTCCAGCCCAAAACCTTGCTGACCTTTCTCTGAAGGAGAGCGTGTTTTCAAGGCTGCTGGCCAAAGTGATCAGTGCTCTCTTTTTTTGCTGCTGCCTGGCTCCGTGCTGCTTGGTTTCAGTAACACTGCCCAGTCCAGCTGAGCAATAATCTGAACATATCCTAGAAAACAGTATTTGAAAAAAGCATCATGATTGGGTTCTGAACCGGTTTTAAGAAAAATAAGCACAGATGGAAACAACTTACAAAGTACATTCAGTGAACAGCGATGATTATAAAATGTGGCACTTAGAAGGAGGCTCCCCTTCCCGCCCTATCCCCATCCACCCCTCCGCGCGTTCGTTGATTGCACAAATGTTTGTTGCCTGCCTACTGTGTGCTGGGCACTGATCTAGTCGTGTTCAGCAGGGAACCAGACAGAGCCCTGCTGTCAGGAATCACATGTTCCATGTTCCAGGGGAACAGTGAACAAATCATTACCTAATAAAATGTCAGGTGGTGAGATCCGTGTGAGTGAGGCTTGCCCTCAGAGCTATTACCGAAAGGGTAGCCAACCGGAAGATCAGTTATTTTTCCGTCACAAGCCTTTCCAGCTCAGGACCCACCCTATTTTGTTCTAAGGATTCCCACGAGGAAGTTAAGCATATAGAAAGGAAATCTTAGTGTTCAAGGTTCCCTGTGTTTAAAACCCCTTAGAACGGAACAAAACTGCCCAAATTATAGAATTACCATTCTTATTCTCTATCATCTTGTAACTCTGACTAGACATTTATGTTAACACATTTTTTTATTAATATCAAATAGATAGTCCTCTCAACCCAATATATACTAAATCCGTGGCTTTCAAACTTTGAAACCCATAGTAAGACATGTATTTTTCCATTTGGCTATCCGATGTACATACATACCTATGAGCTTATTTATATAACTGAATTAGAAAGTCAAGAAAAACACCTTTGTATGTGCTGCATTTGATGTTTCCTATTCTCTTTTGAAAATTTTATTACATTTATTGGGGTGACATTGGTTAATAAAATTATATAGGTTGCAAGTGTACAATTCTATAGTACATTATCTGTATATTGCATTGTGTGTTCACCACCCAAAGTCAAATCTCCTTCTGTCACCTCATACTTGTCCCCCTTTATCCTTTGCCATCCTATTTTTTAAATGCTGATCATGAACTTCTAAATGAATTTGAAGACCTGCTAAGAAGCCCTGCCTGCACTCAGAGGAACCCTGTTCTAAAGCAGTGTGTGTGTTATGTGTGTTACTGTATTCCCACAGGAGCCCGAATTCCCTTTTGTATAGAATCAGGTTGTTTGAACCGGATCTCCCAACGTCTGAAGTCTTATGTGTTGCAGCAAACAGAAGTTGCTGACTGGGCCTGAGGTCTGCAGCTCCCTGCACAGACTCGCCACTGCCCATTCCAGCGCCTGCGGTGGGGACAGTTCAAATCTCAGCCCCATTGCAGCCCTTTCTCATGGGCCTGTAACCAACCCCCTGCCAGTACCAACGTAACTAGAACTACTTCCTTGCAATTGAAGCATAAACTCCCTTCTCAAGGTCTCCATGGTAACAGTAATAATAATGACCCTCCATGACTCACACCCCCTTGTTGTCCACACCCTTTTGCAGAGTGCCCTTGCTCCTCGTATCAAGTTTCCAGTAAGAGGCGTGGCCATGCTCAATTCCCTAGAATCCAGGCTGGGCTTGTGACTGCTGACCAAGAGCATGTCGCAGAAATGATGTGTGAGTTCTGGAGCCTAGGCCTCAAGATATCTTGCAGCTCCTGCCTTTATCTTCTTGAAACATGACTGCCGACTAAGGAGGTTCAGGCTAGAGCACTGAATGACGAGAGACTGTGTGGAGAGGTCCCAGCTGTCCCTGCCAAGGCTCCAGACGTGGGTGAGGACATCTCGGGCCCTTCAGCTCAGCCGACACTCCAACTAAATGCATGGTTAGGCTAGGAGCCCAGGTGACACCAGCAGAATAACTGCCCAGCCAACCCAAAGAATTACCAGAAATAAGTTATTGTGATATGCCACTACGACGTGTGGTGGTTTGTTAACCAGCAGTAGATAACTTGGAACAGCCCTCAGATTTAGATCTCACAGTTACTAAGAGCTTGGAACTGCACAGTCTCGTAGGCAAAAAGCTTAACTTTTTTTTATCATAACTGAATAATAGTTTTAGCTGACTTATTTCTAGGTCCATGCCACCTCTATTTCCAATCCATACTTAGCAGCTACGAACTGGAAAGGAGGGAGGGCTTCCTCATATCCACAGCTGATTTCACCAATAACAACCATCTCAGAATTCCCCTCCACCAGTCTCCTGGCCTGCTCTTCTGCGTTCCCAGCCTTATTCCTGAACTTTCTGAATTAGGAAATGCCTGATTGTAGAGCCCTCTGACAGGTCCCTCAGACCCCTCACATAAGCATAGTGGCACCCTGTTTAGCTTCAATATTTTGCAACAATTTTGAGGCTTCCCAAGATGTTGAGGGAGACGGTGGAATAAAGGAGTTAGAAACGCACAGGTTTGTTCACAGACAAAACTGGGCTTGATCTCTCTCCTACACGGTAATTTGTATGGCCATGAGCAAGTTATTGAACCACTCTGAGCCTGTTTCCACATCTGAAAACGAGGATATTAATAGCGACTCCCTTAAAGTTATTGTGAGGATTAAATAAAGTAATGCAGGTAAAATGTCAGCTCAGTCTTTGTCAGGAACATTTGTGACAGGCAACTCTAAGATGGCCCCAATGATCTTCAGCTCCTGTTATTCACATCCTCTCCCCTTTAGTTGGGCTGGAGTCCGTGACTTGCTTGTAAGGAATAGAATATGACAGAAGTGATGTGCTGTCACTTCCAAGATTAGTTACAAAAAGACTCTTGGGCATGGTCTCACCAATCACCAGCTGCCACATCATGAAAACAGGCAACCTGTGGAGAACATGACCAAGAACCGCAGTCTGCCAGCAACCATGTGAGTGAACTTGGAAGTGGGCTCTCCAGCCCCAGTAGTCTTGAGGTGACTAGCCCAAGCCCGTAGCTTGATGACCTCATCAGAGACCCTGAACCAGAGACACTGTCTAAGCTGAGCTCAGATTCATGACCAATAGAAACTAGGGTAATAAATGTTTGTTGTTTTAAGCTAAGTTTTGGGGTAATTTATTGTGCAGCAATAGGCAATACAAAGTACAAATATTAGCTCTTAGGAGATACAGAAAACAGTCATTGTAAGGGGTGCTCTGGCTCTCCCTGCTGCTCCAGAGTGTTTGTGCTAACAGCTCTCAGCGTGGGTGCCTCTCCATGAATTGCTCCCAGCTGAAGACAGCCACCTCCCCCGAAGTCACACCTCCTCCCCTCCCCAGGGGCAGCCCACATCCAATGACTGTTTGGTGCAGAGGTATAAAGACCCAGACCTATTGCCTCAAGGTGGAACCATTTTGAAAAGCCACCCTCTCCTGAACCCCCTGTGAGATCAGCTGAGGCCTTTGTTGAGACTATCACAGTTCAGCTCCGCCCATCCTGACTCCTGTCCAATCCTACTTCCTTGAAGTCTCTCCAGGTTGTGATTCTCAACACTCAGGACAGTTCCCAGGGAACCTGATCTCATGCAGTTGGTGCCAGGACGGTTCAGGGAAGCAGTCCCTACAATGGAATTTTGGACCCTTGCTGGGCAGCTGGTGATGAAGACCCCATCACTAATGCTAGGTGGAACTGACACCCCTCTGATGCTGAAGTGGTACCATTCTTCAAACTTGACTAGTGGTGAACCATAAAAGGGAATGAGCAACAGGGAGGTGGTCATATCACAGGATATTTGAGAGGTTGGGGAAGTACAAAGTCTGAAGACATTGGAATCTGCAGGCTTTCGGTGAGCGCCATTGCTACGTTAGGGAAAGACGAAAGGTTGAGAGTGTTCGATCACCAACCGAAGGCAAGTGTGAAAGTCAGAGGGCTTGTGTTGTTTAGAGCCACTACATTTGTGATGCTCATTATGCAGCAATAGAAAACTAAAGCAGATGTGGGTACATAGAAGCAGGATGCCGTAACACATACCTAAAATCGTGGGATTGCTTTAGAATTGGGCAGTGGGTGAAGGCTGGAAGAATTTTGAGGAGGATGATAGAAAAAGCCTAGGTTGCCTTGAACAGACCGTTGATAGACATGATGTGAAAGATGCTGGTCAGAAAAACATGAGGAAAATTATAGAAAGATCTTAAATTGCCTTAGAGAAAGCCTCAATCTCCATGAACAGACCGTTAGTAGAAACGTGGACTTGAAGACACTTAATGGGCTCAGAAGGAAGTGAATCTGTTATTGGAACTGAAGGAAGGGCAATTTTGTGATGCAGAGGTGGAAAGCTTAACGGAATTGTGTCTGGCAGTTACGTGGAAAACAGAACTTACAAGCAATGAGGCTGGATGGTTAAGATTTTCTAGGCAAAGCCTGGTTCCTTTTTGCTGCTTATAGTAAAATATAAGAGGAGAGAGAGAAATTAAGGGGAGAATGGTCCAACAAAAAGCAACCAGGACTTGGTGATTCGGGAAATTTGCAGCCTAACGTGATTGTAAAAGAGACTAAAATCCAGAAATGGCTGTCAAAACGGGCATAGAGGAAAGCCTGGGTGCGTGACTGTTCAGCCATTGGCTGAAACTTCAGAAAGACCCAAAGGCCAGCCACTCACAAGAGATTCAGGGTCGTATTACTCTGCTAGGGCTGCCACAACGAAGTACCACAAACTACGTGGCTTAAACAACAAAAATGTATTGTCTCACACAGTTCTTGAGGTTACAAAACCAAGGTCGAAATGTCAGCAGGGCTGGCTCCTTC